AATGAAAAAATAAGACGGTCTAGATATAGTGTAGCGATGNATATTTTAGTATAAAAGTTAATATATATATATATATATAGAAAAGTTTATATAGGGAAAATGTTGAGATTAGCCCACTAGCTCATATGAATATATGAGTCCAACGACCCGGATTCAATCTTGGTAGATCTAACGCTCACGACTCTATTTTGTTTTTAAATTTTAATTTTTTTCTACATATCCAAATAACTTAAAAATTTAGGCGCCAATTCTTCTCATCAAGGTGCACTTAATAAAAATATTTAAAAATTAATTTGAAAAAACAAAATTGACGAAAATACCCCAAAACATTTTAAAGGTATTTTGGTCAATTTATTTATTGTAAATTATTTTGTTGATATTTTTATTAGATTATCCTATTTACAAGCCTAAAATTTCAAGTTATTTGGATTTGTAGAAAAAAAATTAAAATTCAAATATGAAATGAGATTGTGATTGTCAGATCGGCCCCGATCCAATCTGGGCCATTAGGCTCATATGTTCATATGAGCTAGTGGGCTAATCTCAGCAGGTTAGATCTGGATCGGGATTCAGGTCTGATGCATATCGGATCCACCTGCACCCGGATCTAATACGGATTTCAATTCGGATCTGACTTTTGGATCTGGATCTAGATTTGGGATACAAATTTTGGATCCATACCAGGATCCGAAATCCATGTTTAGGATCTGGATCGCGTCAATTCTCAACCCTACTTGCAATCAAATAAAGGGAATTATGGAGATTTATTGTTCGATTGAAAGGTGAAGGGCCTGATTGGTTGCTAATGGAAACATATCCCGACCACATTATGTAGATAGGTAGAAGGGTGCACACACACCCTTCCAATAGTTGAGATCTGATAAGGCTTAATCTAACAGTTCTCATGTTATCTTCTCTTTTGTACTTATCTCTTTTTCTCCTTTGATCATTTCTCTTTTAGAGGTGATTTTCATAGAGATTTTGGATAGCGTTCATTTTTAGAATGTTGCAGATACGTTGACAAAACCAGTTCCATTACATAAGTCAAGCTATGCTTGGACTTTACTAATGTATTGCCAAAGTGAGTGCTTGTGGGCGCCGTGTAGAGAAGATAGTCGAGACTCTTTTGGTATTCAAGCCTAGGTGGAGATTTATGGAGAAGACGGTCTTGAATTCTTAAATCTTTATTTTGTGGGATTAGTTTTCTTATCTTTTAAGTTTCCTATTTATTTGGATAAAGTCTATTATTTAGTATCTAAGTTTGTGGATAAGTACTACTTAGATTAGGATGAGCTTTGTGTCTACAAGTAGATCTGGATAAAGTAGTTTTTATAAAATTAAGAAATTAGGATAAAGCTATCTTGTTGTCACGTATTCTATATAATGGATTATTTAGAGAGAGAAAAAGATATAGAAAAATAGAGGGAAACTTTTGGGGGTTTTTGTAGAGAGAGAAATGGAATGACAACAAGTTTAGGGTTGCAAGAATTGAGCTTCATATGGAGAGAAACTTCGCGATGATGCCTCTTGTAGACTCTTGTAAATTGAGAGGTTGGTTTTTTGTAGAGAAGTGGTTCCCATAGGGCTTTTGGGTGGTTTCTTTTTTTAGTTAGGGAGAAAGTCAGGTTCTCATTACTCTCGCGTCTCTATCTGGCATTGCGGTAATGATTGCAAAAGTAAACAGAAGGAAGAATGATATGTGGCATCGGTTAGGAGAGTGATTCTAAAAAGGTTTGCTAGACTGGGTTTTGTCGAGGGTTAGATAAGTAACTCTATGTTCTAAAATCTTTGATGTTACTTTCGTTGGTATAATGAGTTTTAGTTTACCGTGCTCGTGGATGTAGCTTTTATGGGGTGAACTATGCTAATCTTTGTATTTTTGTAGTATGTGTTTCATGTTTTATTTCTCGTACTTTATTTGTCAAAAATCAACCTATCGGGTTTAGAGCTTCTGCACCCAACAAGTGGTATCAAAGCCTGGTTTGGGGTTATTGGTTATTCGAATGCAATGTTCAAAGTGGAGAAATTTGATGGAAAACACTATTTTTTAACAAAAAAGATGATAAAATTTATTTGGCAAAAAATGAAGAATCTATAAACCTATATAAGCAGGTGATTTTATTATCGAGGTAGGGATTGTTGGATTTGGTGATATCCAAAATGACCCACATAAGAAAATCTTACGTCATGTGGGATTGGGATTGATATTAATAAGTTTTTTAAACGAAATGGAAATTTAAAAAGATTAAGAATTTTAGATATATCTCTTGGTTTTTGAGATATACATAAAATCAATAAAAAGTTTCTTACTTAGTGTGGATTTCTAATCTTTTATTTATTTATTTATTTATATATATATACATACATGAAAAATGATACTATTAGTCAGAGCGCCTGTGCCAATACGGTGAGTCAAATTAATCTATGCAAATAGCCCGATGGACCACACATACTGTATCTCTCTAGGGGTATGGAGAAGCAGGTTTCTCTCTCCGTCTTAAACAAAAACCCCAATTTAACGTGCTTCTACTGCCCTCTCTCTCCCATCTCTGTTTACAGCGGGTTTCTCACTCTCTTAAAGCTGAAACCCCATCATAGCATACCTAAATCAGGCAACAAAATCCCCATCAGCGGGTCTCTCTCTCAAACAAAAACTCCATCAGCAGGTTGTTCTCTCTCTCGGTCAAACAAAAACCCCATCAGCACTCTCAAACAAAAACCCCATCAACGGGTTTCTCTCTCTCTCTCTCTCTCTCTCTCTCTCTCTCTCTCTCTCTCAAACAATAACCCCATCAGCGGACTTCTCTCTCTCTCTCAAACAAAAACCCCATCAGCGGGTTTCTCTCTCGCGCGCGTTTGTGCGCCCTGCCCTATCTCTCTTTCATGAGTTTATACCCTCTGCAGCCTGGTCTCCCACTCTCTCTCAACATAGAAGACGAAGCAAGAGGAGGAGAAAAAGGTACAAACTCTCTCTCTCTCTCTAGAAAAATATTTTGCATTTTCTTTCAAGGAAAATCTTCTCTCTGATCATAGGAACCAGAGGTAAATTTTGGTTCACGCAATGGAAACCCTTTGTGGCCACTTGAACCAGAGGTAAATCTGGGAGAGATGGGTTAATGTTTAAACAACAATGGCGGTTATTATTTTCAATCTTTGTGGCCTTTCTTTACTTTTTTTATGGAGTTGTAATTTCCACTTTTGCCATTGATGGATTCCTTTTTAAGCTTCGAAGAGTTCTCTTCCTGTTACACATACCCGTGAAATCGTTTTAAGGGCTTCAGTAAGGTCTCTATGCTGGGACCCTTCCTCTCTCCACTATTTGTTGTTGCCTGGTTTTGTCTCTTACCACCTCCTTCACTATTAAGAAGGCCTCTTTCATGTTGGTTTCTTGCCATCAGTTCAACAATGTCCATTGGTATATCATCTCGAAATTGTTTGTGCATGATGTTGTTCCATGATACATGCTTCTTCCTGCTGTGAGCTTGAGGAGTATATAAGCATCCATGCCTATCAATTATCATTTAACAGAAAAAAGTACCAATATTACTGATTATGCAGGATTCATACTTTAATGTCTATTTGATTTGTGTGGCTATTAGTTGAATTTGCCTTATTTTATTTGCATCAAGTTGACATTTAATATGTACAGTTCACAGGATACTTTTAATTCCAGATGATGTGTGTATTCAAATGTTAGAAAATTGCAACACTTTTTATTTGGATCAGGTTTGGGGTGCTTTACCTTTGGGTAATAATATCCAATGACCGGGATCGCCCATTGATATTTTTATGCTGTATCTCTGCCTTCCATTATTGTTGGTGTCTTGAGTAACTGCAACAATTTCAAGCTCCACCATATCAAAATTGCCATTCATTTACATTTATTCTTATGAGTGATTGGTTACTGTATCCATATCTTTATAAGTGTTATTGTTGCTTTTTTTTCTTTCGAGTAAGTGATATATTATATGATATGGTACTTTACCTTTGGGTAATAATAGTGACCAGGATCGCCCATTTATATTTTTATGCGGCTTTGATGCCTTCCATGATTGTTGGTGTCTTGTGTAACCGCAACAATTTCAAGCTCCACCATATCAAAATTGCCATTTAGTTATATTTATTCTTATGAGTGATTGGTTACTGTATCCATATCTTTATAAGTATTATTGTTATGTTTTTTTCCTTCAAGTAAGTGATATATTGTATGACAGGATACATCAACATGAATTTTACATACATATGGAGACATCTAACATCTATGATGCACACACTCAAGCCATTATTTTATAGTATCTTGCTCTCTTTTTTATTTAAGGGAACGAAATAGTTCTATGGGCTTATTTGGTTAAGCCTGGATCAATATCACGTATTGTGGTGAAATAGTACTAAGAACTTTGTGTTTATTGTAGCGTCTTTCAATTACCCAAGTTGGATCTCACCATTTCAGGTAGCATGTCATCTCTCACATCTTCAGATGAAGACAATATTGGGGACATCATTGAGCCCAATATGGGGGACACTAATGAATATATGGAGCAAGATACCTTGCTAACAACTACCCCTATGAAGTCTACAACTATGGGAATTGGGGAACAAGGTGCCTCTTCCAAGGGGTTAGAAATAGAAGATCCCAAAATAGGGATGAAATTTGGTTATGAAGAAGAAGCATTTGACTATTACAAGGCTTACGCATTAACATGTGGGTTTGGGCTTCGAAGGGCAAGTACTCATACTAAGGATGGGCGGAGAATAGATAGGGAATTTAAATGCTCCAAAGAAGGGTTCCGTAAATAAAAACATGTAAAATGTACAAGGAAAATCCCTCAAACAAGGTGTGGATGTACAACTAGGATTGGCATTAGCATATACGCCGATAATGAGTGGGTTGTGATTAGGTTTGACAAGAAACACAACCACGACCTTGTCACTCCAAGAAAGGCTCGACTCATTCGGTCGCACCGAACTTTATCGGGTGCAACAAAATCAATGATAAACTCCATGAATTCTGCTATGGTGAAGTCTGGACATATTTATGATATATTTATTGAGCAAGCTGGAGGGATAGATAATATCTCATGCTCACAAAAAGACATTGAAAACCAATTAGCAAACAAAAGGAAAAAATTGAATGGCAAAGATGGCAAACGTGTTGTGGAATGACTAAATAAAATGAGTGAATCAAACCCATCATTTTTCTATAAGTTGAGATTAGATGGGGAGGATCGTATTCTCAACATACTATGGGTAAATGCTATGTCACGAGTGTCGTACTATCACTTTTATGATGTGATAACTTTTGATACCACATCCAAAACAAATTCATTTGGTATGCCCTTTGCTCCCATCCTTGGGGTCAATCACCACTTCAGCACAACATTCTTCGGGTTTGCACTTATTTATGATGAGAAAGTGGAGTCTTTTGTATGGGTTTTTGAAAAATGGTTAGAAGCAATGGGTGGACGCCAACCCGGTGTAATTATCACTGATGAAGACCATGCAATTACTATTGCAATGAGAAAAGTTTTCAATCAAAATAAGCATCATTATTGTAAATGGCACATTCTTGCGAAGCAAAAAGAATAATGGGGTCACGTCTTGCGTAAGAATCCAAGTTTCCTAAAAATTTTTTAATAAGTGTATAACTAGCCCAACTGTGAAAGAGTTTGAGATAGAATGGAAAACACTTATTGAGAAGTATAAGCTTCAAAAAAATGAATGGCTAATTAGATTGTACAATTGTCAAGTTCAATGGGTTGACGCATATGTTTTCGCTACATTCACAACTGGTATGTCATTTACTCAAAGGAGCGAAGGGATAAACAAGCACTTTAAGATGTACTTGACTTCGACAACAAGCTTGCATTCTGTATTAGAAATTAGATTGAAATTTCTTGAAAAGAATATTCGTAAAACAAAAGAAAATGACTTGAACAATATCACGAATGCTCCTATTTTGAGGACCACTTCATTCATAGAGGCACAAGCTTCAAAAGTCTATACACATAGAATTCTAAAGTTCTTCGTGGAAGAAGATGCAAATTGTATTAATTTTGTTAGTGAAACCTTTGATGACAATAGGATATTTGCCACCTTTAGGGTGACAAAACCTGGGTGTGCAGCGATGGTAGGTCTTGTGGAATTCAATAGTCATGATCAAACTTTCACTTGTTCTTGCTACTTTTATGAGAGGTTAGGAATTCTTTATAGGCATATACTTAAGATCTTTTTGGGAAAAAATATTTTGGAAATACCATCGCATTACATAATGAAGCGATGGACAAAGGATGTCATGAAAGGGGTTGTGGAAGATAATAGCGGCAAGCAAATTCAAGTTAATTCTGAACTCGCTCGCTCTATTCGTTTTAATGAGGTTTGCCAAATATCTCGAAAACTTGCAGAGCATGCCTCAAAAAGTGTGGAACTCCATGAATTTGTAATGTCCGTTGTAGGCGAAGCATGTGTTAAGGTTGAAGCCAAAATTGGGCGTATAGTAGATTCTCACAATGTTGCCAATACCACTTATAATGATAATGTTATTGGTGGCACTAGTAAAACGACTGACGAGAACCCTTTCCATAACATCCTTGAGCCCCCACGGGCGCGAACAAAAGGGCGACCAACCAATATTCGATATAAATCTCGGGTTGAGCAAGAGGAAGAAAGCGAAGAAAGAAAAAATGAAAGAGGAAGCAAAAGAAGGGATTCGAAAGTGTGCAGTTTGTAAACGAAATGGACACGACAAAAGAAATTGTCCGTCTTTCGCACGTTCAAAGTATGAATGAATGATTGCTCCATATATCTTTATATTTCTTGCTCCATGTCTTGTAGTATTTGTGAATGTAATTTGAATTGCGTAAATGCTTACAATGGTTTTTCTTATTATAGGTTGAATGTCAACAAAAGATGTAGAGCAGGATCTTGTGAAATTGTGGAACATGATTAGTTATGGTATGAAACTCATGAAATATATAACTTTATTGATTTGAGTTCTAATGGGTCTCTTTCTTGCTGCTTTGATACTTCCATTGATGAAAAAGTTGCAATTACATGCTTATCATACGATGTTTGTTGTCTCAAAAATCAACTAGCTTTGTACCTCTTTGTAAATGTAATTGAAATGCAAAGTCAAATGTCCCCTATAATTCTGTTTTCTCTTTTCAAATGTCCCCTAGAATTCTAATCGTACAACTATTATGAATGACAAGTGTCCTGTGTCTAAAATGGCAGGAAATTTTTGCAACCATTTGCCATCTTTGAGGCCGATCATTTCGATGAGGACAATCAACATGATTGAATGTGGAAGGAGTAGATTCATTGTATGCATTTTAATTTTCATTTTGGAAGGAGAGAATGTGGAAGGAGTAGATTCATTGTACTTTTTTTATGTTTCGTATTGGAATGAGAGAATTCATTGTACTCTTTTTATTTTCATTTTGGAAGGAGTAAACTATTTGCATTGGTTGAAGGTCCTGGTAATTCTTTTTAGTTTTTTTGTTTACATCTCTTGTTGCAACAACATCTCGTGTACTTTATTCCGAATAAATAACTGTATTGGGAGGAAAAATTATTTCACTATCATATCCGCAGAGGTCTATACAGTTATCTGTGTGTGGATGGATACTCCATCAAAATGAAGAAAGAAATATCACATGAATTTAATAATATGTCAAAAAGTACAAGATGAAAAACAACCAAATAATCACCAAAGTTTAGCTTGATTCTATTTAACGAATAAAAATATACCCAAGCCATAACATGAGCTTGTACTCTTGACTATCAAATGTTCCTCTGAAGGAGTACAATATTTATTTTTTAAAAAAAAGTACAAATAAGCAGCCTTCGGCTGCACATAAGAACAATATTAAATGTTGCACAAGACCAGTACAGCTCTCAGCTCAAGACTATGTATCTTCCACCAGCAACCACAGCTTTTCCATTCTTATTTGCACCTACTGCCTCTCTAAGTTCACTTGCGTATTCAATTTCTCTCAAATAAAATATGTTTTTGGCATTAGCACCTTGATTGGACAATCTTATTACCTGCAAATGTAATAAAAAGATCAATAAGGGGAAAAGTTCATAAAACTGAGAAAGCAAGATGATGAATTCAAACAGCGGATTTTCCACAATTAGCATATCAAGACATTACATAATTTTGACAACAGATCTAATGAAATAGTAGCTCTTGAGATTTGATTAAATTTCTTTCTTTCAATATACGAACACAGTGACATACAACAGAAAATGAGCAAATTACTGTGAACAATGTTTCTTCCTTGTTAATCATTTTCTATTAGGAAAATATCACCTCATTGGCACTTCAAATTATTTTTGTTAGTTCATGTACTAATTAGAAGGGCGTGACTCTGTGCTATTTTCCTCATCCTCATAAAATACTTGGATAAAAGTAATCTATGAATGGGTAGAAGATGAATATGAATGAATTGACAGCAACATGAATTTCATATCTAGAACCCCAAAACATGGCTGGTAAAAAGAGTTCTGCCATGAAGGGCGAGAAAAAGTCTAAAAAAAGGAAGCATGCACAAACAATTTCATATGATTGAAAATAATAGCAGCCATTGCTGTTACCCATGTCTCCTAGATTTACCTCTGGTTCATGTCGCCACAAAGGGTTTCCATTGCGTGAACCAAAATTTACCTCTGGTTTCTGTGATCAGAGAGAAGATTTTCCTAGAGAGAAAAATGCAAAGTATTTTTCTAGAGAGAGAGAGTTGTACCTTTTTCTCCTCTTCTTGCTTCGTCTTCTATGATGAGATAGAGTGGAGAGGGTATAAACTCATGAAAGAGAGAAAGAGAGAGAGGGCAGGGCGCACAAACGCGCGAGAGAGAGAAACCCGCTGATGGGGTTTTTGTTTGAGAGAGAAACCCACTGATGGGGTTATTGTTTGAAAGAGAGAGAGAAACCCGTTGATGGGGTTTTTGTTTGAGAGAGAGAAAGAGAGACAAACCTGCTGATGGGGTTTTGTTTGAAATAGAGAGAGAGAGAAACCTGCTGATGGAGTTTTTGTTTGAGAGAGAGACCCACTGATGGGGATTTTGTTGCCTGATTTAGGTTTGCTATGATGGGGTTTCAGCTTTAAGAAAGAGAGAAACCTGCTGAAACCAGAGATGAGAGAGAGAGGGGGCAGCAGAAGCGCGATAAATTGGGGTTTTTGTTTGAGACAGAGAGAGAACCCGCTGCCCCATACCTCTAGAGAGATACAGTAGTGTGGTCTGTCGGGCTATTTGCATAAATTAATTTGCAATGGGTTTGAAACAAGCTAAAAGGGATCACCATGGTTGAAAGTGCGTAAGCTGATCCCACCCGTATGGCTCACCGCATTGGCATTGGCCGGCCGGCTAATAGTATCATTTTTAATATATATATATATATATATATATGAAAAAGTGTTTTTAAGGAAAAAAATAAGTAGTTTCATCACCATTCAAATTTCATCGCGTGGTCACAATTATTTGGTAGTGTTTTATGTTTCATTTTTTTCTACAAATCGGAATGACCTGAAATTTGGAGGATATGTAGATCTTACGGATGCGCATCTAATAAAAATATAAAAACAATTATCCGTAAAAAATAAATTGATCAAAATACCCTCAAAATTTTTTCAGAGGTATTTTGGTCAATTATTTTCATGTAAAATATTTTTTTATAATTTTCGAAAATTCCCTTATTTTTTATGAATTCATGCTCCAAATTTCAGGTCATTCCAATTTATAAAAAAATGAAAAAATGAAATACTACTAGAAAATCGTGACCGTGTGATGAACTTTGGATGGTGATGGAAGTAGGCGAAATCACTGTTCATTTTCGCCTATAGCCGTTGCGTAGTGTTTTTCTATATAGATATATATATATAGATATATGAGATGAAAGTGTAAGGAATTTTTGTCCCTTAGTTGGATCACCATATGGGAAAGGTTGTTTCCTCTAGAGAGAGAAGGGGATATAGCCTCTAGTGCATGAGATGCGAGGTTTCTTCTTAGAGAGAAAAGAGAGTTTTTTATGGAGAAAAACATTGCGATGATGCGTTTTGTAGACTCTTGCACATTGAAAGGCTGGTTTCTTGTAAATAAGTGGTTCCTATAGAGATTTTGGATGGTTTCTTCTTTTAGTTAGAGAGAAATCAATTTTTCGTTGATCTGCATCCTATCTGGTATTGTCAGTAATGATGCAAAAGTAAAGAGGAGGAGGAATAACATGTGGTGTCGGTCAGGAGAGTGGTTCTAAAAGGGTTTGCTAGAGTGGGTGTTATCGAGGGTTAGAGAAGTAATTCTTTGTTCCAAAATATCTGAAGTAACTTTTATTGGTATATTGAATTTCAGTTTGCCATGCCATAGATATAGTCCTTTTGGGGTGAACCACGTAAAATGTTTGTGTTCTTGCGGTATGTGTTTCATGTTTTTATTTCTCATATTTTATTTATAAAAAAATCAACCTATTGGGTTTAGAGCTTCCACGCCCAACAAATCTAACGGCCAAAAATTACTTTCACAATTTTTTTTAATTTTATTTAAATAAAATATTTATCTAAATTTTGGGGATGAGCTTATTTTCATAAAGATAACTAAATAAAAATGATTGAAAAATAAGAATAACAAAAATACCTCCAAATTATTTTGATAAATATTTTTATTTTAGTTTTTTTTTTTAATTCTACTTATAAAAAAGCTAGAACCCAAATTTCAACTTAATATTATTTTAAAATAAAAAATAAAAAAATAAATTTATTTTTGGCCATTTGATGAGGATGGTTAAATCCAAACCTTTGCTCCAAAAGTGCTTGTGCATCTTTTAAGCATCCATAACCTCTAGACCCAACACTATCCCGTTGGTTTTACCCAACAATATGGATTGGATTATGAGGAAATATTTAATCCCAAATTTCAGCTTAATATTTTTTCAATTCTACTTATAAAAAACTAAAACCCAAATTTCACCTTAATATTATTTTAAAATAAAAAATAAAAAATAAAAAATAAATTTATTTTTGGCCATTGGATGAGGATGGTTAGATCCGAACGTTTGCTTCAAAAGTGCTTGTGCATCTTTTAAGCATCCATAACCTCTAGACCCAACACTATCCCGTTGGTCAACAATATAGATTGGATTATGAAGAAATATTTAATCTTCATTGCAAAGACGACAATGGTCCAGATGATAATATCATCGAAGAATGCATAAGGTCTCAATCTTAAACAATCAAGTTAAGGCATGTTTCTAAATTTTATCATAAATATAATTTTGGTATAAAAATTTTTAGGATGTCTTGAGAATCTATTTTGATCTCTAATTATATTATTTTAAATTTAAAAAATGGTTCAAATCAAGTAGATCTATAAACACATAAAAATCTTGAAAGTAGACAATCTAGATTATGTATTGTAAGATACATTATTTTTGGGACTCGAAATTATTATTTTTCTTTTTATATTCATTCATCTCAGGATTGAAGTGATGGTTTTCCAACATCAAAACAACATTTTATGATCAATTTTTTAGGTGCACCTTAATTCTATATTTTAAGTGGCAACCTTATATAAGCTTTTTTTCATTTTTATTTACCTCAATAAGTATGTTTAAATATATTAATTTATTGTTTATCTTTATAAAGGATTTTGAGAGAAAAATATATTTTCCAAACAGTTAGTGAACAACTTACATACTTCTAGACTTTCAGGGGCTCCTCAGAGACACCAAGAACATCCAAATAACTGACACCATCTGTAAAAGAGAGTTCCAAAAGCCCAACGTAAAATTCTTTCTTGTGAGTCGCGGCAAATATGGGATCTCTGTGATCTACAGAGAACCGCACTAGTCCGGCCCGTTCAAACCAAAACTTGCTGAACCGGTGGCTAGACCAATCCGGTCAGGCGTATTGGATTGGATGGTCCATTGAATGGGACATAGCCCGGTTGACCGGCTAGTCCAATGTATGGACGTGCTGGTCCACCGGATTAATTCTGAACCATTATGCCTTTTACTTGTACGAGGAGAAAGTTTATATATGGGTGCAAAAATCCATGGGAAAAAGTTGTTTTAATATTGAAAAACCCTCTAATAAATCGAAATCTGAGATGTATGAATATGAAAAAAAAAAAAAGATTTTGAGTCTTAGACATGGTGCATCTTGCAGCACACTATGTAGACCATTCAATTTCAAGATTTTTGCATGTTTATAGATCTACTTGATTTTAATCATTTTTAGAGTTTCAAATTTTACAATTAGAGATGAAAATTGATTTTAAGATAAGCCTAAGAAATTTTTACACCAAAATTACATGTTATGATAAAATTTGGAGGTGCACTTTAATTGGATTGTTTAAGGTTGCAACCTTTTAGAAACCACACCCTTTTTTTAATAATGTTTTTTTTACTCCTTTTTAAATTATTTAGGGAAAGTTTTTTCAAATTTAATTAAGAAAAAAGTTTATATAAGGTTGCAACCTTAAAATGTAGAATTACATATGCGCCTAAAAAATGCATCGGAAAATGTTGTTTCAATGTTGAAAAGCCCTATAATTGATCATCTCGATATCAAGATGTATGAATATGAAAAAAAAAAAGAAAAAAGATTTTGAGTCCCAAAAATAGTGCATCTTGCAATACATTATCTAGACCGTCTATTTTCAAGATTTTCATATGTTTATGGATCTACTTGATTTTAATCATTTTTGGAGTTTAAAATTTTATAATTAGATATGAAAATAGATTTTAAGATAATTCTAATACGTTTTTAAACCAACATTACATATTCTTATAAAATTTGGAGGTGCGTTTGGATAGTTTAAGGTTGCGACCTTATAGAAACCACACCCTTCAATTAAAGAGACGTATAGGTTTTAGAGTATGCATTTTTGGATACAGGGTTTTTAGAGAGAGGGAGAGAACTCGTTTTTAAATCATTCAGGGAAAGTTTTGTCAAATTCAATGCCGGCTTTGTCTGTTAATTTATGCCAATTCATCATTTTTTTTTTTTTTTGAATTCAAGTTCTTCATCTTGATGTTGCAAAGCATATTCTTCATTTAATGGAAAGCAGTATTTTTATTTTTTTCCTTTTTTTTTTTTGGACAAAAGTTAACAAATTTTTATTACTAAAAAAGAATTACAATTTGCAATAGTTATAGTAACAGCCTTCAGGCCACTTTTACAAAAACAATTAATCTCCTCCTACCTACAATTATACAAATATAAAGTAAACTTTCTTGCACAGTTGTTAGTGTAACAACATTTACTCCCATCTTGGCTAAATCATCTGCTGTTAAGTTTTTCGTCTATACACATATGAACAAATGAGCTTTCCATGTCAGCACAAATATCCTTCAATTCCTCCAGTACACCTCCATTTCTTTTTTAAACCACTATATTGCTTCCTGAGAGTCACATTCCACACTAACCTCCTTATTAAACTCTCTTTGTCAACTTAACACCTCAGAGGTTAAACCTTAATTATGCCTCATTTTCTGTTGCATCACATTGTTCCATTGTAATCTCTAATTGTTCCACCAGTCGTAGCTTGGCCTAAAATTACCATGAGAACTACCATCAAAATTTGGTTTAATCCAACGCTCCATAGGAGCTTCCCAATCACCTGCCCATTTTGCAGATCTTTCTCTGATTATCACATTAATATTGTACATTAGATCGATTGCCCATCATTCATCTCTCATTGATAACTGTTCCGCATAAGTAACCTTTAGTTTTTCACATGTCTCACCCGTCATCTTTATTACTTCGTCAAAACATCTTCGGTTTCTTTCCTTCCACAACTCCCATAGAACATGTGCTTTTATAATTTTCTGAATTAGCCTTCCTTTTTCATCAATCTCACCTATGTCCATTGAAGGAAAAGGACCTACATTGGCATAACAGTTTGCATCTCTACAATTCTACTGTCCATCTCTAAGGTATTTTTGCATAATCACATTGCCGGAATAAGTGGTTTGCTATTTCCTCATCTTTTTTATACAGTAAGCACACATTAGGTAAGATTTTTCCTCTTCTTCTCAACACGTTTATTGTCAATAGTTAATTCGAAGATAGTATCCAGATATTGGTTCTAACCTCCATATCAGGGCAATGTTAATGTTGTTGTACCAATCTTAAGCATTGTAGATATTCGTCTGCCACATTCGCATCAACTCTTCTATATCTGCATCTTATATCCCAGGCAATCTCATAACTGTCTTACTTTTTTAAATCACCTTTGCAAATAGATCAGAGAATTGGACCTTTAATGCTCTATCCCCTATCCATTTTTGTTGCCGAAATCTGACATCTACCCCTTTCCCACCAAAACTCTCAGGCTCCTCAAAAAGTAATCTCTATATGAAGTGATGCTATTCCAAATCAGTGACCCTCCTTTCTTATTCAATCCTTTAGCAATGATGTTATGATCTCTATCCAAATCAAATTTCTCTACCAAAATGGGTCTCCATTATTGATCTTCTCAGTTGCACATCTCCTCTACCTTGTGAATAATGCTCTATTCCTCATTTTCATTCTTTTTTAACGCCCATTCCCCATCACTACACACCTTTTTCCAGCAAACCAAATTGAATTTCTTTTTCTCATCAGTTTCTCCCCATCAGAATCTTCTCAAAAGACCCTCCAATCTTTTCACAATCTTATTTCACATTTTGAAAGCTGTCTCAATTATGGTTTGTACAAGACGAGTGAGAGCTTTCCTCATGTGGATCCTACATATACAACGTCAATGATAGCAGGCATACATTAGAAACTTTTTTAATACACGTTATGGTATTGTAAGTGTCGTTAGAGCAAAAACACAGCTCTCTCTAGTACCGACACATAGGATATGGCTGCTAACATGGCTGCCCAAGAGAAACTTGGCTAACGGTTTTGTTGGGCGACAACTGATAAGGTTGATTTTATGTTCTCAATCAAATGTGACACTGAAAGTGCACTAAAATTGGCATCCAGTCATGTGCAGGTGCCTGCAATGGAGCATATTGAAGTTCAACACCACTTATTTGTGAGAAGGGTTTGGATGAAGAAATGGAGTTGGAAAGAGTTTGTACAGGTGACCATGTAATAAATAAATTTGCCAAGAAACCTGCCAAAGCTAAATTTGAAGCAACCATAGGCATAATCACAGCTGATGGCTAAAAGCATGCAGAGGGTAGATTAGAAATTTCCTTTTCTTTCTTTCCTTCTTTCGGAATTTTTAGGTTTGTGCTTGCAATTTGTCTGGTGCAGTTTGGATATTTTGTCTTATTTGCTTCTTTCTTATCGGGATTTTTAGGTTACACTTTTCTGGAAGTTGGTTTATTTGATCTTCTTGTTTTCTTTTACATATGGATGGGATAACTGCGTGTGCTTATGTCTGGGTATGTGGTAGATTTCCTGTCTTTTCAAATTTTAGGAAAACTATGCCCCCTTCCTGAGATTTTATAAGGAAAATCAATCTCATATTTTATTTTTATTTTTTATTTAAATATGATTTTTATTTGAATGTTGGCATATAGCTTTATTTTTATAAAGATAACTAAATAAAAATAATTAAAAAATATTTTATATAAAAATTACTAAAATACCACTAAAGTTATTTTGATCAATATTTTCTATTTAAAATATTTTTATTATTTATTCAATTCTATTTAAGAAAATAAAGCTAAAACCCAAATTTCATATTAATATCATTTTTAAATAAAAATTAAAAATAAAAAGCAAAACTCATATTTGGCCCTTGGATGAGGTTGTTCAATCCATAGTTAGCAAGTTGGGGAATAATAAGATATCGGCGAACCAAAACATAGGTAATAAATTGGTTTTATTTCAAAAATTCGTAAAACAAAATCAGGTCAAAATTATGGATAGCCAAAAAATTAGGTAAGTTATAAAATCGGATATGTAAAGATGACATAATATAGGATGTTTTGTAGTTATTGTACAGATACATTAAAGCTATTGAACAATAAATGAAAAAAGGCATGCAAACTCTAAAAAAGAAAGGCAGGCAACCCTGGGAAGGGGAAGGCCGAGGCCGGCTCTTGCTTTGCTTCTTGTTTCCCTCCAACAAACGGAATAACAGGGAGGCAGAGGGCCATTATTCCATTGTTATTGCTAGTTTCAATTCTTGTTTCCGGATAGAGAACTGGAGCTTGAAGTTTTGGAATCCCTTACTGATCTGATAGGAGCCGGCAAGTGAAAGACCCCTTTTAGATCATTAGAAGTCCGATGGAACAGGGACGGAGCTTGTAGCATTAAGGAAAAACAAAAGGCAAGGATTTCTTCTCTCAATAAAATCAAGTACGATATGGATAGTATCACTAGACTAATACTTGGCAATTTGTTATCTAAACTTTTAATAAATCCAGCAACAATACTTATTTTGTTGTCACAACACAAAACATATAATACATTTATTGGGAGCATAAAATAAAAAATAATAAGAACCCTTAACATAAAAATTATCTTAGTAAATAACAAGAACAGTAAACCAAGAAATAAGATTATTGTTCAAACAAAATGACAAAAAAGACCCTTAGTAATGAAAAAAAAATCCCTCAATATAGGATTACAGTTAACTAAAACAAAACAAAGTGATAAATCTTAATGGCTATGTTGTAAACAAAGTTATAAATCTCTCTCTTGTTCCTTATAAGGATGCTCTGATTTAAAGCAAAAAAAGCTTCTAACTCTATCTATTATTTTGAGATATACGATTGTTATGATATCTTATATTTTTGGTAATATATTGCTTGTATTTTGTTACACTTTTTTAAGAGAACTTATTGGTGAAATTTTTATGGAATTTTTTGGTTAAATCAAGATTCTTGATTTACTCTCGTTGATAATGCGCTTATATTTAAACCAATATTCAATAATATTAAGTTAATGAAGAAATAAAGTTATAAGTAAGAAGTTTTTTTGAAAAATGATAAGATTTGCATCAACAAAACATGATTTTGTGAAGATCTTTTGAAAAACTTCGAATAACAAATTTCAAAAATTGGAATTTTTTTATAAAAAAATCGTGTTTCAAATGGATACTTGCTTACAATGGTTTAATTTAAACCATTAAAAAGTGCACCTTTTAAGCATCCACAACATAACAATGGTTTAATCTAAACCATTAAAAAGTGCACCTTTTAAGCATCCACAACATGTAGACATAATACCAATCCCAAATTTTATCAAAATAATGAGGAATACACAAAAGTTAGTAAAAGTTAAAGATTCTGGGTGATTGAAATTTGTGTGTGCGTGTTTGTGGGAAGGAGTTAATCACATTCTTCATCTCTCTGGCACTGTAGTGGATTGGATAAAAATTTGAAGACTTTTGTGGTCTTTGTTTGTGAAAAAGGAGTGATTCTTTGGTCAATTTGGAGCGCAAATTGTCGTGTGTTATTTATTAACACAGCAACCAACTACTGATGTGGCAAAAGTCTTTTGATACATATTAAAAGTTGGGGGGTGCATTCTGGTCCCAAGTACTCCTCCTCTGCGGATTTCACATTTTGGACCACAGTTACAAAAGGTAGCACGGTACGTGGGTCAGCTTAGTCTAGACCTCGACCCAGGTCTGCCTATGTGCATATCCGAGACGAGTCCAAGACAGATCCAACCAAATCCGGATTGGACCTGACCCAACAGGTTCAGGCTTGACTCGGACCTTAGTGGATCTATATCTATTGGACGCAAACCAACCTACAAAGTCTAGTTTCGAGGTCCACCACATCTAGACAGGGTCAGGTCAACCTGACCATATTAGCACCTATAACACAGGGCATAAGGCTCACAATCATCAGAATCCATGCATTTGCTGATGTGCATATGCTTTCCATTAACATGCACACAATGTCTTAGGCTCTTAACGGCAGTTTAAACTTTCTGGACAATGTTCTGTTTGGAACAAAGACGTGCCTAAATATTTTGGCAGATTTAGAGAGACCATTGGGAGGCAAGGGGGTGAGCTTGGTAGGCCCGCCCGAGACAGGACCAACCCAAAAGATTAGCCCAAAGGCTGAGCCTGAGCCAAGGGCCTTGGGTGTCCAGGCTAGCCTCCGGCCCAGCTTTCCCCTTGTGCTTACATTTGCCTTAGATTCTCATTTGACCGAGTCAGGCCCAAACTAGCCTAGGGTCGAGGCAGACCACCTAATCAAGGGCCTTGGCCAAGCCTAGGCCAGCTCCTTCAGCCCAGTCTGAACCAGAAGTCTAGAGAGCTGCTGCCGTGCCCAAGCTAGCCTAGGCCCGTCCAATTGGCAGGCCCACTCATAAAAATGTGTGCGATGCACACTTGATGCTAGTATCCACTGGATCTATGTATAGCAATCTCTAAGACTTCTCAAGGGCCTTTTGGTATAGTTAGTCCCAGTCCACTAGTAGTTGTAGCCACCAACCATAACCACAAAGCCTTTGGTGTAGTAGAACCCTTTGAGTAGGAATTACCGAAACACACATCATTCATTCGGCACTCTATGCTTTCGGGAATTTTGAATGTCATTGCTATAACACTATATTTTACAGAATTGGTCCACCTAAAGTCCTTACATTAGACAACCTAGTGCAATAAAAGTTGCAAATCATGAAGTTTTGTACTAAGGATATGAGTTAGTGGGAGTGATACAGTTGAGTGAGTCCAATAGCCATGCATTTGCATGAATGTGCTTCTTTGCCAAACTACACTAACTATTGCACATTTGCAGTAGACAATCTTTTTCATTTTTTCAATTTCACGGTATGTTGCTTACACTGGTGACAAATATTGACAGTTGGGAATACAACCAAGGGACATTCTGTATCTTAGAATGCTCTGTCCTCGAAGGAATGAACCAAAGAAGTATAAAATGAAACAAAAAATTCAGACCAAACAACCAATTAGATAAAGTGCCTGTTTTGCCCTAGGAAATTGACAATAGATGAGTGTCACTTTTGGAACTTTGAGCCAACTGCTGCTTGGCATTCTGATTTATTGTCACCCCAATTTCAGGCATCAAAGACCTTGAAAGAGTCAGCAACAACTTTGAGTTTGTTTCTAACTCTGCTCCATCGTCTTTCATTGGCACCAACAATCAGTGTGTAGTACTTGCCTATGTGAAATGGAGAAAGAAAGTCATGAATCATTTTCACTCAGGGCAGAAATATTACAATTCTGTATTCATCTTATCTAATAAAAATACGTAATGCACATAATACAGTGAATTAATACGTGGATTTCTTTCAAAACCTTAAGAAAAAAAAAAAAATTATCTAGATCATTTGAAGTTTGGAACAAGATTCTTCTGCCATGGATTGAACTTTATAATCTAATAAAACTTACCCATATATTACAGAAAATGGTGAAATCTTTGGTAATTGGTTTCAAGTTACAATTACAATAGAGGCCCTTCAGATTGGCATCTTATTTTCATTATGCAACGCCACCATCATTGAAAAGAGCTTATTTATAATTAATATATTTTCCTTTCATATGCAAGACTAGTAAGCTCTTTATTTATTATTTATATAATCAAATTTTATAGCAAATCACAAGCTTCTTGTTTGTTGAGTTTATGAAACCAAAATGCACTTCTATTGATAATGGGTTATTGCACTCAGTCCAAAATGTTGCATATTGAGTGTCTCCAAATTGGCAACTACCAGTTCCTTATCCGAAACTGAAATTGCAAAATTTGAAGTATATAAGAAGGTCCAACTTCACTCTCTTGGGAAATGATTATAGATCAAACTTATCCAAATGCTATCCAGATCCCTTGAAAATCAATGTTAAGGGAAAGCTTATGGGGTAGAAAAGAATCTGAATCAACATCGATCCAAGTAGCACAGCATTGGGCTGAAGCTAAACCCACTGGATCTGCCAATTTTGACTTGCAGATAGCTGGGACTTAATACTGGTAAATCGCACAGGCTAATAATGGAGCAAAAACAGAACATCATGTCAAGTTTAAATAGCCCTAGAATATGTCAGTAAGCATAAGATCCAGAGAGAGTACGGAATGTCTACATCAGTGGACCTTCATTTTCTTAAGGCATGTTGTAGCTAAAATAAGGGCATATAAGCTTCCAAAGATCCAGAGAGAGCATGGAATGTCTATGTCCCGGCCCAAATTTCAAGGTTATGGCTAGCCAACCCTAATTTCTTTACATTTTTTCCTGGTGATTCCTATAGGACATTTTTATTCTCTTTATTTTTTGTTCAATGCATTGCTAACCTCTTGTGTTACCCTAGATGAATCTTTTCAGTTTTTTCCATCTGTAAGATTTCATATTCGCATTCCTTTGAGGATTCCCCTTCCCTTTTTAACTTGTCTTCTCTACACCCCTCTCAACTTCATACACATGAAATAATTAACTTATCAAAAAAATACCTTGTTATAACATTTTCATGTTCTAATATTTTCGATATTTGTAAAGATTGTTGTAACAGAATCCTTGATTGAGTCAATCAAGGATTCATGCCAAAAACCTGTATATATGACTACATCTATTGTATATGGTACACATCTCCCTCTATAGGTTGTGTGGTGAATTTTACAAAACCTACCATCTTCTCTTAATTTCTTCATGGTATCATAGCCATGGGAATTTCTTTCGCCCTAATTCTCTCTATGGTGGATACCTCCAAGTCTCTAGCTCTGTCTTCAAATACCATCTATTCAAATATCCCACTCTTTCTCTGATATTTTCTCCAATTAAGACTCTTTCTCTGTCTTCAAATACCATCTATTCAAATATCCCACTCTCTTTCGCTAACATTTTCTCCAATTAAGACTCTCTCTATCTCTCTGGCGCACCCTCGTTAAGCCCATACTGCCTTATTTGATTGTCTCTCTCATTGCCTTATTTCATTAAGCCTCAACACTCACGCACTCACATTCTCTCTTTTGCCTCACTATCACTCTCTTGACTTTCACAAACTCCCTCGTTTTGCCTCACACATTCTCCTTAAAGAGAGAAACCATCTCAAATTTTAAGTTTTAAAGAGAGTACATCAAAATTTTAAAGCGAGAAACTATATCAAATTTTAAAGAGAGACACTATCTCAAAAATTTTGAGAAAGAAACTATCTCAAATTGTAAGCATTAGAGAGAGAAAGCATCTTAAAATTTAAGAGAGTAATTTTATCAAATTTTAAAGAGAGAAAATATCGATTTTAGAGAAAGAAACTATCTATCAAATTTTAAAGAGAGAAAGGACCTATATTAGAGAAAGAAACTATCTCAAAATTTTTAGAGAAAAATTATCTCAAATTTTAAGTTGTAGAGAGAGAAAGTATCTTTGAATTTTAGAGAGAAAAACAATATCATATTTTAGAGAGAGAAACTACCTAAAAAAATTTATAGAGAAACTATTTCAAAATAATTAGAGAGAGAAACTATCTAAAATTTTAAGTTTTAGAGAAAATCTTAAAATTTTAGAGAGAGAAACTATATTAAATTTTAGAGAGAGAAAGCAACTTAAAATTTTAGAAAGAGAAACTATATTAAATTATTAGAGAGAAACTATCTTAAGTTTTAGAGAGAGAAACTATCTCAAAATTTTTGGAGAGAGACTATCTCAAATTTTGAGTTTTAGAGAGAAACTGTATCAAATTTTGTTACCAAATAATGGACATGGAAATGATTGCAAGGAATCCATGAATTTTATATAGTTTATCCAAACTAGAGATTTGAGGAATCCATAACAAGATTCCTTGATAATGAAAATCCATGGATTTTCTTGGATTTCAAATATCCGAGATTCTTAATTTCCTCCTATCCAAATGGACCCTAAAAAACTGATTTTTTCTACTTCATCTAAACATAAAAAAACGAACAAGTCAAGAAAATAGTATAATGAACTTATTTGGAACTAGAAATTAGGTGGATTCATGCCCAGAATACCACTAAAGGAGCCAAAATTTACTCTTTTTGGGAAGAGAAACAAAAATCTCTAAAGTAGTTCTCTCTCTCTCTCTAAAAATTCACTTTACAGCCCCAAACCCCAATTCCATTTTTAAAAAAAAGACCTCCAATTTAAAAAATGACAAAAAATTGGAGGTCATTACCCCATTTTGACAAGGTTGTTCCGTAATGCACCGGTGAACCGGCCAGTCTAATGATTTGACCAATCGGTCCACTGGTTCAAGGCTGGTTCGATGGCCATTCCTGTCTGGGGGATCCATCGGACCAGAATGGCCACCACTTCCCCGGTTCCTAGTTCAAACCAGCAGGTCGGTCTAGTCCACTTCAAACATCATTGGTTTCAGAGGGAGTTTAGATCTTCTTGAAGATTAGTGTACCATATCATTTATAGTTTAAATTAGTTTATCACATCACATGTGGTAGGCTTATCATATAATATCATAGAGGGTGAAGTTGTGTGTCATATATAGGAAGTATATCATATTTAAGTTACCCTCATGTTGCTTATACATATATTGTGAATAGTGAACGAAAGATGTATGTTTTCCTTTTGCCTCTTTGTGTGCTTTATACCATGTTCACTCGTTACCCAATTGATTGAACCTAATCTACTTCAAATTTACCATAAAGAAGCACAGAATTAGCAAAAGAAAAAATGTCCTCCAGCCTTCTCTTATCATCAGTACAGTTTTGGACACTTACTGCTGACATATTTGAAGGAAATAAGGAATACAAAGATAAGTAATGCATTTATGAGCATATTATTTTTTTCAACCTAAATAGATGTTATCAATTACTGGAGAATTGGCAATATTTTCTGGTAGTTTAAGTAGTATGCTTTGTGTACCCACAGTCAATAAGAAAAAGTGAAACGAGCCCTTAGAATTAGGCATAATATTTGTGAAAGGTATAAATTGGAATAACAATTATACGCAAGGGTAATCAATCTTAACACATCAAACCACTAGAATTCCTAATTACTTGTCCAAAAAAGTGTTTGAAGGCGAATCTTTAAATGCAGTTTATGTTTCAATCTTTCAAGCGAAGAACCACTACCAACAGAGGTCTAGACAGTACATCCCTTCCCATGGTTGAAATTATTGAGATGGTAATTTATGACATGCAAAATTATTGTGATGGTAATAACCACAAAAATACATACCAAATCAACATAGATTAAAGAAAATGCAGTTTGTAGATGATAATCAATTTGCATTGGGGAAGTAAACTGTTAGCTTTCCTTTTATAAACTGAGAAGGGCATATCAGTTTAAGGTTTTATTAACCTCGAACTTATTGCTTACCATTTGCAATGGCTATAGTTGCAAAGGCAGTGCGAGAAAAGTTTGCAGATGCAAGTTCATACTCGAAGGTATAGTAATTCTTTCCATCAATAGAGCGCTGCATGAAATAGATAAAAATCAGGACCCATCAAAAGCAAAAGACAAACAAAATGTAAATGAGCAGAACTTTAGTTTTGAAACAAAAGTTAATAAGACCAGTGCTCCAGCCAAAATATGAAAATGCAATTAGACAGTTCAATTACAAAGTGAGACCACATATATTATCTAATTACTGGGATCAAGAAAATCATATCAAAATAGTAACACAGTAAATGGGTGATGATGCTTAAAACGCTAGACACTTAATGAAGGCAGTAAACATCTTACTAGTGACAAAAGTAATTATGATATTAGCATTTATGCAGAATTCTTAAATAAACAACTAACCTCCTGAATATCAAATATTCTTGCTCTTTGATTTGGTGCAGCAAGTACATTATTGACCAAATTCATAACCACCTGGGAAAAAGGGTATCAAGACTAGTTACCACATTTATGAACAAGCAGACATGTTCGCACTTATGCCTCGGAGCACGTGTATGGATGCACAAGAGAGAGAGAGAGAGAGAGAGAGAGAGAGAGAGAGAGAGAGAGAGAGAGGGAGGGAGGGAGGGAGGGAGGGAGGGAGGGAGGGAGGGAGGGAGGGTAGGGTAGTAGGAGTAGAGAGACGTACGTACGTACTACGTACGTACGTACGTACGTACGTACGTACGTAGTAGTACTACTTACTTACTTACGTTACGTTACGTTACGTT